GGGTGGGGGGGGGGGGAAAAAGGGGGAAAGGAAGGGAAAGAGTTTGGGAGGGGTTCCTTGTGGAGGGCTGCGGGAGGAAAGAAGAAGGAAAAACACAGAGGAAGCACCGACACATAAAAAAAATTCATACACAAGCTAGAAGAGGAGGAAAGGAATTTGTCACTTTATTTTTGTTTTTGCTTAACTTTTGGAAACAAGATGGAGTCTCTTTTCCTTTGAGAAACCCTTTTGTATTTGGGAGACAATTGCTATAGTGCCGAGCTCTCAAAATATATTTTCTTGTGTGCCTCTTTGTCTATGTGTCTATATCTTTGTGCGGGAAAGAGGGCGGAGATGTATGTATTCGTTTTCCTTTTTTTTTTTTCTTTTCCTCACTTTCACTTTTTGCGTGCCAACGAGAGAAGGGCGAAGTAGGAGAGGAGGGCGAGCGCATTTTTCTCCATGTTGCAGTATTGAGCTGGACGAAGGCAGCTGTGTGTGTGTGCGGTGATATATATCTGTGATTTGAAATTGAATCTTCATTTTCCGTTATTCTATTCAGCTGTTGCTGTCCATGTTACGACGATGGTAACAAGGAGGGGAGATGCTCTGATGTTGACCATTTTTTTTTTTTTTTGTGTGTCCCCCTTTCTCTTACACTCCATTTTTCTTTTGTTGTTATTGTATTCTCTCTTGATGTTTTTCTTTTTGGTTCTATTATTTTTATTATTTATTTATTTATTTCTCTTCTTTTTGATGTCTTTGCTGGCCCTGTGTGTTTTCATATGCGCTTTTCTTTACAGTAGTTATAACACGCCAGCATATCACTCGTGTTTTTTCTTTTTATACTTCTTAACCACCCAGATGGAGGTGATAAACTCGCAAGAGACACCGGATCAGCAGAAGACTGGCATTACTCGCGTGGAGGACAAATATCTCATTGATGAGGATGCCGTTGTTGGGCGTGGCGCATGGAGCGTCGTGAAGCGTTGCACTCCGATTGCGCCCTACGAGCCACCTGCGTTGCGACCCGGAATGAAGGTTGTGGTGAAGATCATTGAGAAGGAATATCTCATATCTTTGACGAAGGGAAACGTGGAGCGGGCCATGGCGGAGGTTAAGCGGGAAATCGATGTTCTGCGGCATGTTCCTGCTCACGAAAACATTGTGACCTTTTTAGAATACATTGAGACGGAGAAGGAATTTCTTCTCTTCTTTGAGGAGGTGCAGTGTGGCGATTTATGTGAGATTATTCTTCAGGCACCGGAAGGGAAGCTCACTGAGGAGAAGGCCAAACACTACACGTATCAAACCATCAAGGCCGTTTTGCACTGTCATATTCATGACGTGATTCACCGTGACATTAAACCTGAAAATCTACTTGTTAGCGATGACGATAATATCAAGTTAACTGACTTTGGGCTTGCCAAACGATCAAAAGGGGTGTGTACTTTCGCTGAACCAAGGGACCTTTTAGATCCTGTTGCACTTTGTATGCCGTACCCTGGCGCAGAGAGAATTATTGGAAAGCGCGTTGTCTG